GGCTCAATGAATCAATTGCCGCTTTCAACCAGAGGTTTATTTTCCCTCTCCCCTTCGCAATGAAAATAATAAAAATAAACCTCTGGAACCAGGATAATACTTGGATAACTTTTCTGACTTTGCGGAGATGCGCGTCTGCACCACAGTCTAAGACACTCGTTACTCAGACTATATAATGCACACGGTTCCGTTTCCGAGCGTTTTTCGGTTTTTGGTTGTAATTAATGCGTTAATTTCTGAAACTGAAAGTACCATTTTCACGTACGTTCTGTTCACACGAAAACGTATGACTAACGACGTCAGGAAGCAAAAACGTTTCAAATAGTGAAAACGATGCCAAACATTCGTTCTCTATGTCTGAAACGTTTGGTCGTTTTGGCACTTTGTTATAGTGTAAACAGAAAAGTAGAAGGCGAAAATGAAATTCCGTGTTTGAATTTGGAAATGAAGACTATAAAAAACTAGTGCTTTGTCAGAAAATGTTGCGAGAAAAACGATCAATGTGAACAAGGCGCCTAAACGCTAAATTTTGAAAACGGCACTGCAAAAACGCTCAAAAACGTGACCCGTGTGCACATAGTTTCAGTCTCGATTTAGGACTTATGAAAACACAGTATAAATTATGTTAAATTTAAATTTTTTTCAGCTTTATATGTTTAGTATAAAGCAACAACACACGAACAGGCATCCATTTCAAAACAAGAGCCATATTGGTGTCCCTCAGTTACTAGCACACCAATATGATTCTCATTACCTATATCTAACCTTTACAAACTTTTGAAAAACTCGGCAAATTCAACTAACGTCACTCGGCAATTTGACCTTCGACACCCCCCCAATCCATATCCCTTCGCAACGGCCCTGTGCAAATAGTCTTGAAAAAAAATTCTTGCAAAGGTTAAATGCATAAAAAAATCCTTCAGAGACATGACAATGAAAAAAAATCGTGCCGCAAAAATTTTATACTCCCCTCCCGGGATTTCTAATAGTCCGTTCCTAACTGGAGAGCAAATAATTTCGTGAGTAATTTGCCGTTTGTTTCACAATTTTTTAATGAATTAATGAATTGGTACCATGTTTTGAGCGTTTTTGTATAAAAATTGGTATTAAGATTTTGAGTAATGTTTCGCAACGAAATGATTTCTGACGTCAGTACAATGGGTCTATACAATATATTATTAGTACATAGATATATGAAATTTTAAATCCCTGGAAATAGTTACAGTACAAAAACACGAAACCATAATTGAACTTGAAAGACAGTTATTAAACAAAATCAGACCACATGCACATTATTTTGATGTAGAAAGTGATAATTTTACATCATTACATATTACATAACAACACAGGCAACTTTGAATTAAAGATATAAAGTGATACATACCGTATAGTCTCCTTAAAATTAAAGGCGAAAGGTACAGCGCCTATGAAATGAAGTCGAATCTTGATTCTAGTGAATCTAAAATCTGACCAAATTCCAAGATTTCCCGATCATTTCACAGGCAGCTAGTATAGCCTCATGCAAATCAACCAAGCCAGCAAGACGTTATAATTATTCCGCACGATCAGAACAGAGTGAAGAAACAACAAAGATTGAATCAAGAAACATTCAAAAAGAACGACCGAGAAGAGACGGAAACCGGCATATCTTAAGGACTATGTTCCACGTTGAACGTGGATAGAACTTCAAATTAATTGTTTGAACTTAAATGGACCTTTAATTAAATTATAGACATTTATTAAAGAAAAAAATTATAGTAAGTAGAATTATTATTAAATATATGCATGCACCTCATTTTATATGTGTACGTATTCAAATAGCTAGTTAATTATATTCAATAAAACTATTACATTACTGCACGTATACAGTAAACATTACAATATTATCATCTGTATATCTACATTATTTTCATCATAATCATCAACAACATCATCATTGTCATCTTAATCTCCATCATTATTTTTATTATTTCTTGGTTTTGCTGATCCGCATCTGTTGAAATAAGTAAATATGATATTTATGTTCAAAGTTAGTTTAAATAAACTCTTTTTTAAAATACCATGGTTATTTTCATCATTATCACCTTCTTCATTTTATTCTCAACAGAAGCATATTCATCCGCATCTGTTGAAATAAGTAAATATGTGTATTATTTTACGATCAAAGTTAGCCTACAATATTTTTTAAATTATACCATGGCTATTGCCATCATCACCATCACTATCATCATCATCGTCACCATCATCATCACAATCACCATCATCATCACCATCACCATCATCACCATCACCACCATCATCACCATCACCATCATCATCATCACCATCATCATCATCACCATCATCATCACCATCATCCGCATCTGTTGAAATAAGTAAATATGTGTATTATTTTACGATCAAAGTTAGCCTACAATATTTTTTAAAATATACCATGGCTATTACCACCATCATCATCACCATCATCACCATCATCATCATCACCATCATCATCATCATCACCATCATCATCATCACCATCATCATCATCACTATCATCATCATCGTCCGCACCTGCTGAAATAAGTAAATGTGTGTATTATTTTACGATCAAAGTTAGTCTAAAATCTTTTCTAAAATGTACCATATTGGCAATCCCGCACAAGTGTTAAGCGTTGATAAGACATTAAAGGCCATAGATTTAATTCTTACTGAACATGAACTACTTGAACTCTATGCCTTTGGGCAAATCATTATGAGATCGGGATGTAAACATATAGTGCCAGTTTGTTTACTGACTCAAGTTTACTAACTCGAGCCGAACTTATAAACTGTATAGAATTTCTCAAGTGTTAATTTCAAGAAGCTCTTTACGGCAGTGGCGTAACTACTATGGGCTCAAACCGGGTGAACCCGGGGGCCCCCAACCCAAATGGGGGCCCCCAGGCTTAGGCGATAGGGCAAAAAGATTGACCAGGGCCTCTGATATGTTACAATGTCGTTTTATTGCCATCAGAATTCTGTAAAATCTCTCCCCAAAGTCCAGGAAATGGCATTTCAGAGAGTCTAGATTTAAAAATTTTCTGGATGACCATGCCCTGGACCCCCTAGAAAACTCGTGCATATACAGCGCTCGACTCGTGCCTTTGGCACTTCTACTAGGGGGGCCTTCGAAAATTTTGAACCGGGGGCCCCTTGATATAACGTTACGCCACTGCTTTACGGCTATATATACATGTAATTAATGGCTAATGACAAGGAACTATTTGAGAATATTGCTTTATCGCTTTTTGCCTACCTTCAGCCTCGGCTGTTATCTCGTTAAGGATTTCAGCGTCTTGTGCTTCTCTAGCCGTTCTTTCTTCTCACGTTGCCCTCTCAAATAATTCCATTCTGTCATGATCATCTAACAGCACGAAGTTCTTATCATTTAAGAACGCTTCCCAATCTACTGCACCTTGAAGTAACTCCAATTTTATATCATTTTGCAACAGGTTCTTTAATCCTCCGTTCGATTCAATTGTATGAAAGTAAAAGTTTGCAAACTTTATTCTCAAAGAAAAGGTTATGCCCTGCCGTTCCATATCCCCTTTAAAGTTGAGGATGTCACCTGCGCAATTGTTGCAGGGAGAGTAGTTTTGAACAAGATTCGCTTGAATTTGGATGTCTTTACCCGCGACGTTATCTGCCAGTAGTGTATTAATTTCATTTTGTAGATCTTGAAGGAAATATCCTTCCGCGTGGTTTGGGTGCAATCCATTCTTGTAAACCATCCTTTTTGTCAAATAATGGTGTGGGTAGTGAATTTCGACTGTGCTCAACACTATCGTATCTCCTATACCGGTTGGCCAACCACCAGGTACGCCGTACTGGTTTGTAATGATGAATTTCCCAACGTCGGCTATCCCAACCGCCA